ACAATACCCTACAGCCTCCCACACGGTGCTCATCAAGACTCAAGCCAAAATTTTACTTCATCAAAGTTTTGCATGTGGAAGAAGAGGAGAATTGGGGAATACCTGAACTGTCACTGAGCACTTCCTCACCATACAAGTAAGAGACACAGAGATGGGCTGGATAACAACAGTGATACCATAAAGAAAAGCTCCTTCTTCACTGTGACTTATACAAGTAGAAAGCATGTTGTTTGTGTCTTCAAAGAAAAGCATTAGAGTTATGTCTAGTTTAAAGATTCTAACAAGTGCTAACTCACTTCTGTGTCAAGATTCTAAAGTTTGATAATTGACTGTTTCCTTGCTAATAACAGCAAAACTTACACTTTTCCAGAGAAAGAAATAAAGGTTCTTCCTTTCCTGATCTTCTCTGAAGAAGGGCTCTATATCCAAGTTAATTTTGTTTTGTTTTGTTTTATGCTTATTATCTATTTTAACATTTAGCATAACTTCTGGTTTTCACTTTAACAAGTAAAGTTTGGGATTATCCCTCCCATCTTCTCATCAATGAGAAAACTAAACAAACTGAAAATAAATCTTCTGAGATCCATGACAGAATTGAAGTCACACAGCAAAGTGCTGTCCTGAAGACAGACAGATAATCGCAATTTATTCTCAATTCTAGGAACTAAAGCCCAGGTTTAGAAGACCACAGATGAAGCCAGTATTTTTAGGAACATACAAACATGTAATAATTCATAAATTGTTGAGGCTCAGTGCAGACAAGCTTGAGAGTTTAAAGTTCTTGGGTGCTCAGTCTCATGCGGTCTTTACACTTTTGTGTTTTACCTCCAGGATCCCCACCAAGTTCTCACTGTGAATGCTGGAGAATAGTCTCTTCATGCTCCTAGCAGAGGGCGGAGAAAAATTACCATTGTGATGTAAGTCCAGAACATTCTGGTCCTCCTTCCCTCAAGGGAAATTACAAGGGCTTAACTGAAGTGAGGTAAGAGAAACATTCAGCTCCAACCCCTCTAGCATTCCTGTTTCACCTAAGTGGAGGGGACGGGGGAATGGATGCTGAGAAGCACTTTCGAAAGTCACATCCCAGGGCAAATGCTCACTAGAAGATAGCGACCTCTTCAAAGGACCATAGAATGTTTCTCTTTCCCCCTCCCTATACATTAAAACCACTGCGACTGCAGGAGAAAATACAGAAGGCCCGGGGCCAGAACAATGCTAACGAGCTGAGGCCAAGCGCTTTGGAGAAAAGGCGACGAGAGAAGGAGCGGGACCGTTAGAAGCAGCGAAGGAACTGCGGCAAAAGGGAATGCAGAAAAGGCCAAGGTCGAGAGGGCGAGGGCCAGGGCGGCGACCAAGCCCACCCCCACAGTGGCCTGCAAGGAGCCACAAGAGCCGTCGGGGCTGGTAGTCCACAAGGTGGAAGTGAGTGACCACGAGCCGGCCAGCAAGCCGCAAAGAGGAGGAAGAGGCAGGAGGTGAAGGGGAGCGTTGCGCAGCCGAAAGGGAAGAAGCCCGGATGCTGCTGAACTCCAGGGGCGAGACCAGCGGAAGGCGCGAGAGCTGGAGGCCAACGTGAACCGGAAGCGGAGAGACCTGCCGAACCAGGCAGACGGCGCAACAATCCGGAATCCCCAGCGCCTCCCATAGAAGCCTGAGGCGCAAGGAGAAGTGCTGGAGCGGTGGCGGCGGCGCATGCGGGGGCAGCGCTGGGCGGCCAAGGTGAAGAAGCGGCGGCGCCAGAACCTGCGCAGGAAGAAGGCGGCCAGCGTCCCGCGCTCCTTGCATGGGGCCCGCAAGGAGCGTGAGATCCCGTCTAGGACGCGAAGCGCGCCGGCCTCGTGGGGGCGCCTGAGGGCTCCTCCCTTTCCCCCACCTCAGGCCCAGCGTGTCCCTGGCCTGGGCCTTTCCCACCTGGGGCTGCCGTCTCTGTCCTGGGAGTCTCGAGGCGCCCCTCCGAGTCCTTGTGTGATGCCGGCTCCTCCCGCAACCTCTGTGGAACTCGGCTTCTCCATGCGAAAGGGACACAATCTTGTTCATCTGAGTTGTGAGGCCTCAGATCAGGCATGCAGAAAAGAATGTTTCAGCGTCGTCCTTGAACACAGGGCGCAGATCCTTCAGACCCCAGGGAAAGAGTGAATCAGATCCAGCCCTCCAGTCTTCTCGGTGAGGCCTGAGAGCTTCCCAGAGGTTTGCAGACTCAGGGAAGAGGAACGTTGGTAGGGGTGGGTGGGAGGAGTTTGTGATGAGAAAGTCACAGGCCTTCCCCTGCCCGTGTTCACAGGGGCCACAGGACAGGAAGAGAATGCCTTTTGCCGATTATCTGTATTAGTCCAAAACTCACTGGAAGGGAGGACAACCTCTGGGGTGCATGGGCACCTGGCATTCGGTAGAACCTGGAGCCCATCCAGGCACCGTGTGTCCGGGACAGAGCACCATGACCATGGCCTTCTCTACTCTCTTGGCTTCTGCCTGTTTGAGTCTCTTTCTTTTCTCTTCCTTAGTAGCCCAGGGAAGCATTTTACAGCTCAGAATTCAAAGGGTGGAAGGGAGCCGTACCTTTCCAGATCATGGATGTGAGTTGGGCCACATGGCCACCTCTGAACCAGTTGCTGGCTCCAATTGTGGGGCAGTGACTGACATGCCTCGCTACCCTCCTGGAGTCAGGGAGGAAAAGTTTCCTGGCAGAGGGTGGAGCTGTGTGGGGGTAGAGGGAGCTTTGCTGTTACCTAATGAGAGGGGTAGGGGTGAGAACAGATAGCAGATGTCAGATGGCTTCTGTCCCAGGTGAGTGCTTTGCTGCAGAAGTGGTCCAGTGTGGCTGGTGTTTTCTAAGTGTCTTGGAGTGAGGAAATCACACTTATTGAGCAGTTGTTCAGACATGAGGCCCCTCACTCCCTAAGTATTTAATAAAATGGGTAATTTTCCCATGGTACACAATTTAAAACAGACTTCGAATTGATAATGTAGCATGCTAGATGTTCTCAGAAGCCTCTCTCGTGTGGCTGAACTGAAAATGCTTGATTGATTTGTTATTCTTTTAACGAATGACTGGGTTGGTGGGAAATGAAGAGATGACTGGGCTGAGATTTTCCCAGCTTGGTGAAAGAGAACATCTTGAGATTTGGGAAACCTGTGGCAGCCATGGAGATGCACCTCTTGATCTTTTTTGAGAAATAACTGGCTGTTCAGCTGCAAGGAGTGTAGACTGTTGACAGTCCAGACCATTGCCTTCTGCATCTGTCTCAGCCATTGAGCTAAGGACATGCACTGCGTGGGTGGCCTCCAGCCAGTGACTAAGCACTTCTGTAATAGGCAGACTGCTCCAGGGTTCCCTGTGAGTTATTTGAGATTGTCCATTCTGCATCATGTTGAGAGGCTCTCCTGGTACCATTCTGCTTCCTGCCCTTGTCTTTCATAGGTGTTAGCCCTTGATAGCCCTTTTACACTCCTCACTTAGTCTCTGAATCTGTTTGCTGGAGGAATGAAAGTGACACAGCTTCCAACAACTTCCAAGTAAGTTGTAGGAAACAACACACACCCTGTGGTATCTACACGTTACTGTAGAACATAAAAACAGGATCCAACAATCTTACAGTCCTTAGCCAGAGAAGAAAAACAGGTGCCCTGAGAAGGAAGACAGATTGACAGCTGATTTCTCAACAGCAACAATGAAAGCTGGAAAAATGAAAACTGCTGAGGAAACGAGAGGTCTAGAATTCACTACCCCTGTAAATATTTTTCACTTTGAGTGTCAATTGTTAATTATTTTTGCTTGCTGAAAAAAATCCCTTCATGTCTTGCTATCTCTTAAGAAAATGAAACTTAAGAAGGAAGATGATTTTACAAAGAAATGGTAAGCACAGACAAGGGGGATGTTTTGAATCTAAACATGCCCATTGCATGAAACTGGTCTTCATTTTGGTAGGCAGCAGCCATCAGTGGCTATTTAAATTAAATAAACTTGGCCAGGCACAGTGGCTTATGCCTGTAATCTCAACACTTTGGGAGGCCAAGGCAGGGAGATCAACTTGAAGTTGGGAGTTTGAGACCAGCCTGGCAAACATGGTGAAACCCATCTCCACTAAATGTGCAAAATACAGCCGGCCACCTGTAATCACAGCTACTGGGGGTGCTGAGGCAGGAGAATCACAAACCTGGGAGGCAGAGGTTGCAGTGAGCCAAGATCATACCACTGTACTCTAGCCACAGCAAGAGAGCAAATAAATTATTTATCAATAAATTGAATTAATTAAATTGAGTATTCAGTTCCTGGGTTGTATTAGCCACATTTTAAGTGCTCAGTGGCCCTAGTGATTAACACACTGGATAGCACAGATACAGAACATTTATATATCAAAGAAGGTCATTGGTCAATGCTGGTGTAAAACAGCGTTTTGTAATTTGTAGGCTTACAAATCAAGGTATATCTAGAATATTGGACAATATGGTATGTAAGTTATAGAAGTGGCTGGAATTGAATTATTCTCAGGTTTTTATATGTAAGGAGTAAAAATTAGAATTAAATATGCATATTCTAAGATAACTACCAAAAGAGAGAAACGGTATAAACTAAAAGGGAAACACATGGAATTAGGTGGAAAGATCTCAATCCAGCAGGAGGGCAGAGAGAAAGAATAAAACCTAGGAACTAACTGAGGTGAATGGAAGATACAAACTATGATGGAAGAATTAAATCCAAATCTATAGGCAATCAACATGAACGCAAATTGATTAAACTCAGATGAATTTTGGTGGCATGTGAATAATAAACCTGTACCTAAAAGTGTTTTGACTCTCCAAAGAGACAAGGATTGTAATGACTGCACCCCTAAAATTATAAAAATGAATCACCCTGAGGTTATAAAATCTTTCTACAGCTTCCAAATAAGTCATAAACTCCAATATCACCACCTTCAGCTGGATGATTAGATATCATTTGAGAGATTCCCTCTGTTAAAAGGAGGTCTTGCTCTTTTCTGGTTAGTGCTGCATGAGAAGCCATGAGCAGCGGAGTCTCTGGTGACACTCTGTACCAGGCAGTGCAGAAAGTCCTGCACAGGAAGCAGCACAAGCGTCGGAAGTGTTTGGAGACAGTGGAGTTGCAGATCAGCTTGAAGAACTGTGACCCCCAGAAGGACAAATTGCTTCTCAGGCTTAAGTCCACTCCCCACCCCAAGTTCTCGCTGTGTTCCCTGGGGGACCAGCAGCACTGTGATGAGGCCAAGGCCATGGGTATCTCCTACATGAACATGAAGATGATGAAAAAACTCAATGAGAATAAACTGGTCAAAAAGCTGGCCAAGAAGTATGATACATTTTTGGCTTCAGAGTCTCTGATCAAGCAGATCCCACGAATCCTTGGCCCAAGGCTAAATAAAGGAGGAGAGTTCCCTTCTCTGCTCACACACAACGAAAACATGGTGGCCAAAGGGGATGAGGCCAAGCCCACAATCAAGTTCCATATGAAGAAAGTGTTATGTCTGGCTGTGGCTGTTGGCCATGTGAAGATGACAGATGATGAGTTTGTGTAAAACATTCACCTGGCTGTCAACTTCCTGGTGTCATTGCTCAAGAAAAACTGGAAGAATGTCTGGGCCTTATATATCAAAAGCACTGTGGGCAAGCCCCAGAACCTATATTAAGGCACATTAGAATGAACTCTAATGCTACCAGAAAAAAAAAAAAAAAAAAAAAAAAAAAAAAAAAGTCTTTATCAAATCCCGTTAACTAATCTTTGCGCTGTTAAATTACAAGGCTTTGACCCCTGGGTACACCTGTCTCATCTAAAAGGGAGCACTTGACTTCTATTGAATCTTAAATATCAACCCTGGTATCTGGCACTAAATTCAAGTTAACCAAAGCCTCATCTTCAGACCTGGGAGAAGATGCCTGTCAAAATAACTGCTTTCATATGACACTGGGCCAGTTAAATTGTAACTATTGATTTAGTAATTTTTCCTTCATCTGAATTAATATACTTTGTTTTATGCCTTAATGCTAGATAATTTTGAATTGTGCAGATATCTATGAGTGTCCTTTTCCTTTCATTGTCAGAGCTAGGCAGCACTTATGTCCTTTTTGTTTAAAACATTGCTAATTCTACACATGGCTTACAAAATTGGGTAAAACAACAAAAATTACCTTTCTCCTCTCTACCTGATATCTCTGAAACTTAAAAACCATTCACAATCCACTGAGCCTGATCTATGTTCATTGCTAATGCTCCACTGCTAAAACTGTGTAAGCACCTTCCCTCTAGGCCCAGCCATTTTCACAGAAGAGATGGGAATGTGAGAATGTAAGGGCCAAGTTTGAGGGATAAAAATTATCGATGCTGCTTCTTGGTTGGTGAAAGAAAAATTAAGTTAGATCCTCCAAACCAAAGGCACACAGATGCCTAAATAGCTGGCAAAATAAGGGACTTTGCTTCCTAGGTCATTGTATGACCCCTTTTTAGCCATCCCAACCATAAAGAATTTCCTACTTCTCACAAAATTAAAAGACAATTACTAGGATGATATCAAGATACCTTGTTACAAAGCCTCCTGGGTGTGCTGCCGCCAGTTATGAGATTTATGCAGATAGATATGTACAATTTCTTTAATCAGCCACCTTAGAACAAATTACTAAAAAGGCTGCAAAAAGCATTGTGGCACAACAGAAGTCTCAAAACTTAGCTTAAATGGTTTTAACAGAATGCTTATGTTTTGTATAGCTAGTTGCTATAAGTATGTAACTAAAACCATGACAGTAGCTCAATGCATAAAATTGATAGATAAGTCAATTTTGTTACCTTGCCTTTTGACTTTTGGTTCTCGACTGTTATTTTACAACCCTCAGCATAATTCTATAATTCTTTGCATTAGCCACACCAAAGTAGCCATTTCCTGAACTCCATTTTTTCTCATCTATATGTTTCAGTGCAGTGAATTCTATAGCCTCAGCACATTGTATTGTAGGTTCATTTAACAAAAATGTATTATCTCTATATACTTTTATCAAGCAGATGCTAGGTACATGGTTAGTATCCAGTAAGTGCTGATTAACTGAATGCATTCACAACCTAGTCAGAGATTAAGTGAGGCAAACAAATAAATAACACACCATGACAGACTCTGAAATGGCCAGGCATACTAGGTATAATTGGAACACAAATGAAGAAGCCATTATTTGTGTCTGGGTGACCTGAAGAAAGGTTTCACAGAAAAGGTGCATTTTAACAGATATATAAAAATGAATTCAGATTTGTTTATGCTTCTCTAGGCCTATGTTGCCTTTCTTGGGACATGATAAGCACAAGTTAGGATCAGGAATAAACATGAGCTGGGGTGATCACAGAGAGGGGTGGAAGGACCTCAGACTGGGGGTGGCTTCCAGGAGAGTGATGGGAGTAAAAATGTAAAAGTAGGTTAAGGCTTGAATTGATTACCCTTTTCAGACATCTTGGCCTATAGAAATCCTGAGAGCTCAAATGTCACCCACTATGATGCGTTCTCAGAAGTGTCAGTCAGAATCCCGTTTTCTCTTTGCCAGGATACAAAAACTAAATGTGCATTACAACAAGCAGTAAAAGAAACATATTTTGAGGTCAACATTAGTTGTTTTCATATCAGTTTCCTCCCTGAAGGGGAAGTCGAGGCTGTGTCTGTCTCATTTTTCACAGTGCCTAACTGAGGAGCTTGGCATATGTTTCCTTGGTATTGAACAAATGCAGGGATTGGCTTTTCACTGCAAGGGAGTGAGATTCAGTTGGAGTTGTTTTGCTGCTCCTCAGACTCACCAGCTCGACAGCCTCCCCGGTCATGGCAGCCAAGCCCATCCCTCCATTCCTGTCCATCCATTTTCATCCATGTCCCTGTCTCCTGGAAGCTTACAGTTCCTGCACCAGAGACTGAAGCAGAGCAATCCTAATGGCTCAGTTTGACCTTTTTCCTGACTTCCTCAGTATTTGTTTATGCTGCAATCTGCAGTCTTCAGCCTGCCAGCCTGCCACACTGGTGTCTGCCACTTGACCAAACCCTCTGTTCCTGCCCTTTGAAATTTTGGGTTCATCATATTTAACAGGCACCCTGGCAGCTGCTCCTCCCATAGGAGGTCAACACTCCTGGAGGAAGCTGACTTTGTTCACTACTCTGGGGCTGGGCTGCTAGAGGCTGGTCACCATGGAATGCAGGGACAGCCCTCATTGGCTGTTCTTTCCTAGTCTTTGCTTCTCCCATCCCTCAGGGCTGGCCAGCCACACCCTGCATGGTGGTGTGGCCTGGAGTACCAGCTCAGTTTGTTTAATCTTTAACTTGTTTACAGACAGAATCTAATATGGTTTGTCTCTGTGTCCCCACCCAAATCTCATCTTGAATTGTAATCCCCATAATGCCCACGTGCTGAGGGAGAGACCCCATGGGAGGTGATTGGATCATGGGGTGGTTCCCCCACACTGTTCTCATGATAGTGAGTGAGTTCTCCTGAGATCTGATGGTTTTATAAGTGTTTGGCAGTTCCTCCTTCACGCTGTCTCTCTTTGCTGCCACCATGTGAAAAAGGTACTTGCTTCTCTTTTGCCTTCTGCCATAACTGTAGCTTTCCTGAGGCCTCCCCAGCCACTCAGAACTGTGAGTCAATTAAACTTCTTCCCTTTATAAATTACCCAGTCTTGGGTATTTCTTTATAGCAGTGTGAAAACGGACTAATACAGAATTCCTTTCATGGGGATGGACTAGACTAGGTGAAAGGGCAGGAAGAGTGACAATGTCCCCACCCATCGGTAGTGAGTGTGTGACTTGAGGATGCTTGGGTGTAAAGGGCTCTTTCTTAATTTGCAAAATGAAGGTGTTGGCACCAAGTATGTCTACAGTTCGTTTCCCCCTCATATTTTTTATGATTCTATGATTACAACAAAGAGAGCATGTACTAGGGAAACAATGAGAAAATTCATTGTTAGGTTATCCCATTAAAAGGTTGAATTCAGTGAAGCCATTGCTTTATAACTGGTGCTTTTCAAATCCATTGTTATTTCTGGTTCCCTTCCCCAAACTAATTTCCACCCCCTTCCTCTGACACCCACCCCCCGCCATCACTAAAGGCATATGCCCACTTCTTCCTTCATCTGCAGGGCTGACTAGCTGGGTGGGAGCAGCAGGAGGCAGGGAATGGCACAGGGAGGCTGAATCTCTCTCCCAGGGCCAGTGCTGTTCATGTCCATTTCCACCTTACACTCGGCGGCTACCACCAATTCAGGAGGCTGCTTGATGTGGGTGTGGAATGGGGTAAAGTTGACCCCAGTAGCATAGCTATATGTAGGTTCCCTTCCAACAGTAAAGTATATATTTATACCTCATGCTGTCATTCAATAATAAGTTTTGAACACTACTTTTGTCCAGCACTGTGCTAACAGAGCTTGGAACGATTCATTCATTTATCCAGCAAATATTTACTGCATGCCTCCTGGATAAATGAAAAATGAGGCAGAGTCCTTGCCTACTGTGAACCTAGTTTAAACCTCCATGAGAAGGAGGGAAACTCCCATCATGCTTACAGTCTGCCCAGATTTCTATTCATTCTTGAGTCATATGTGGGCCTGCATATCTTTACTGAACCCCCTTGAAGACTGCCTGTGCTCATCGGGCAACATAGTTTTGACCCCAGAAGTTTTTCACACTGATTTTTCTACACACAAAAAAATTGTCTTTAGGCATTTGATCATCTCCCCAAGTTTTCATGCTTAAGAGAGATTTCAAAACCTCTGTCTATACACAGTCTGGCCAATAATCTTCTCTGACAAATAAGACAACACCACAGTATTGGTTTAGTTCATGTCTTATTTGTCGGCGAAGATAACTAAACCCCTGGAAAATAATGAGATAAGCTAAAGGAGTTAGATCATTTGCCAAGAAAAAAGAGAACAGGAAGCACACACTTATTAGCCCGTTCAAGGATTCATATCTTCCACCCCTTTAATGAAGCTCCATAGAGTGTTGATTCATTTGAAAGCGTTTTCAGGTTCTGTTAGAACAACGGTTGCATAACAACTCCCGCAAATCTGTGGCCTGAGAGGGTGAAAGTTTAGTACTAATGATTAAATTGTAACTATTGCAGTTATTCTGAAAAACATATAAGAAAAAAACCTAAGAATTATTTAAAGGGAAAGTAGCTGGATGGTGATACACATCACCAAAACAGCATTTGAACTCACTATTTCTTAAATTTCTGAAAAATAGGATAGGTTCCTATTAAGAAGCTTACCTTCCTGCTGTTAGAATGAAGTAATAGGTTGTCCAATTTGTTGGCAAATAGTTTTTCATAGTTGTCTCTTAATGTCTTTGATTTCTGTGCTATCAATTGTAATATCACTTCTTACATTTCTGATTTTGAGCCTTCTTTCTGTTTTCTAGCTAAAATTTTGTCAGTTTGTTCTGCTTTTCGAAAAAAATTCAACTCTTATTTCAGATGATATTTTCTGTAGTTTTTCTGCTTTCTATTTCCTTTATATATTCTCTGATCTTTGTGATTTCTTTTCTTCTGCTAACTTTAGTCATAGGTTGTTCTTTTTTTAGTTCTGTGGGATGTAACATTACTTTTTTCATTTGACAACT